GCTGTAGGCGAGCGTGCGTACGTTAAACGTGCCGAACGATAGGTCGCCCTCTCGTGCCTTCTTCTTCGCAGCCGCCTTGACGGCCGCTGCGGCCTCGTGTCTCTCTCGGTCCATCTCCCGTAACAGGTGTGCTTTCTTCCGTATTTTCCGAGTGGCGAGTTTTCTCGCATCAATCCATCTCTGCAGAGCTCGGTTCTTGCCTGTGGTGTTTTGACGAGGAGGGTACAGCACTCCCTCCCCGCGGTGGCCGCGGTTGTCTCCCTTCTCCCGCGAGCGGTGCTTACTGACGTGGTGTTTACGAATCTCTCTAATCCTCCAGCTTCGTGGGCCACGCTTTCCGCGACGGTGGTTGCCAGGTGCAGTTTGCCGCTTTGCATTACTGCCGCGGGAACAGTGTCCATACACACATCTACGCATATGTATAGTCTACAGGCGGATACATTCTTGATTTGTTGTGGAATGTGGCCTTCACGGGGAACATGGCGCAGTGTCGTTTGACAGCGTACTTGCTGTTTTTAGAGTGTACTTCGCTGCTGTTTTCGGCGGCTTGAATATAGACTACATCTACAGCTATCGGACTGTTGTTGTACATGTTCAAGTGCGTACACGCACCGACACTTTCCCTCCCCGCGGCCTGCTTCCCGGCCGGGGCCAAAATCGACCTAGTGAGTCCCTCGCGGGCGAACCAGGCCAAAACAAATAGTAGGCGGGTGGTGTCCCAAGGTGCAACTCACCGCCGCGCTGGCTCAGCGTGGCGGTGAGGATGCACAGACGGTGGTAGTGGCGAGAGGTGTGTATGGACACTGTTCCCGCGGCAGTAATGCAAAGCGGCAAACTGCACCTGGCAACCACCGTCGCGGAAAGCGTGGCCCACGAAGCTGGAGGATTAGAGAGATTCGTAAACACCACGTCAGTAAGCACCGCTCGCGGGAGAAGGGAGACAACCGCGGCCACCGCGGGGAGGGAGTGCTGTACCCTCCTCGTCAAAACACCACAGGCAAGAACCGAGCTCTGCAGAGATGGATTGATGCGAGAAAACTCGCCACTCGGAAAATACGGAAGAAAGCACACCTGTTACGGGAGATGGACCGAGAGAGACACGAGGCCGCAGCGGCCGTCAAGGCGGCTGCGAAGAAGAAGGCACGAGAGGGCGACCTATCGTTCGGCACGTTTAACGTACGCACGCTCGCCTACAGCGGTAGGAACCCCCATCGGTCACAATGTGATGACGGTCATGCAGATTTGTTCGGCGACCGGCTGTGATGTGATCGGACTTCAGGAGACCCGACGAGAGGAGCAAGGTTAGTTGCACACGACGGGTACGTGATCATCTGGAGTGGCGCCCGTGCTGGCACCAAGGNGGTTCAATTGCACACGACGGGTACGTGATCATCTGGAGTGGCGCCCGTGCTGGCACGAAGGACAAGAGGGGCGTACGCGGTGTGGGCATAGCGATCAAGGAGGCCATGTGGGAGAGTGTGGGCGAGGACGGTAGGACGGTGGAGTGCATTAGCCCGAGGCTGATGAAGGTGCGTCTACAAATTGGCCGCACCTGCGGAGTAACTTTCGTGGTGGGGTACGCCCCCACGGAAACTGTCCGCACCACCGCGGGCGGAGATGTGAACGCCAAGGACTCCTTCTGGACTGCTCTCGACGCAGCGATCCGGGAGGTTCACAGCCGTCACCATCTCGTGGTGCTAATGGACGCCAACGCACGCACTGGTAGGAGGCGAGACGGGTGCTGCGATGCCAAGATTATGGGCACGTACGGACGCGACATTATGAACACAACGGGGAACGACTTCTTGGACTGGCATCAGACAACCAGCTCTCCCTGACCAACACCTACTTCCGAACACCGAAAGGTGGAGTGCAGCACACATTCCAAAGCTCCATCAAGGGGAAGGAAAAGTACCGCCTCGACTTCATCCTCATGCGTCAGACGGACCGGCGTTTCGTNCAACGGGGAACGACTTCTTGGACTGGCATCAGACAACCAGCTCTCCCTGACCAACACCTACTTCCGAACACCGAAAGGTGGAGTGCAGCACACATTCCAAAGCTCCATCAAGGGGAAGGAAAAGTACCGCCTCGACTTCATCCTCATGCGTCAGACGGACCGGCGTTTCGTGCGTAATGTCTCCGTCAAACGTGTCGAACGTGTCGACTTGAAAGACTCTGACCACAACCTCGTGCTTACGACTGTCCGCCTCCCCCCCCGTGTCGCACCCAACCGACGAGTGCGGGGGAACAGCCGAAGCAGCCGGATCCGTATCGACCTCGAGCGGTTGAGGAAGGACAAACACCTACGGGTCGCCTTCCAAAACAGGGCCTCCATCCGCCCTCCGCCCACGGCGCTCAGGCGGCCAACGGGAGAGACCGCCGCCGAGCTGACGGCTACGGTGATGTCGGCCGCTGCTGAGACCGCGCCGCTGGCGAGGTGCGCACGAGGGCAGAGAGGCTGGTACACGGGCGAAGCGCAGCACGAGATCTCCGAAGCGTGTAAGGAGATCAAGGCGGCCCAGCAGCAACTGCGCGGGGCCTCAAAGAACAGCGCCTACGACCCTGAAGGCGATGCTCAAGGCGGCGCGTCAGAAGCGCAGCATCGCGAGGTGGAGAGCACTGGAAACGTTCTTCGAGGGCTATGTACGGCAGCTCGAGAAGAAGAGCCGCGATGGGGATCAGGCGGGTTTCTACAAGCACCTGAAGATGATCGACTTCGAAGGTAAGAGGTCGTTCACCTCTCAGAACATCAAGGACGAGAACGGCGAGGTCCTTCGGGACCCCACGTTTATTCGCCAACGGTGGGCACGGTGGTTCCACAAGCTTCTCAACACTAAGTCGCCGACCATCAACCTGCATGCGGCTGACAAGATCAAGCGGTGGCCCACGTGCGTGCCACACCACGACATCCCATCTCTACTTGAGGTTGAGGAAGCGGTACGGGAAATAGCCAACAGAAAGGCCGTCGGGCCGGACGACCTACCGGCTGAGCTGATCAAGCTTTTCCTGGACGGAGATCAAGGTCTCCTCCGCGAATTCCACGCCATTGTCGTGGACGTGTGGCAGACAGGGGGAGTAACACAGCAGTGGAAGGATGCCACCATCAAAATGCTGTTCAAGAAGGGGGACACGATGGAGTGCGGCAACTACCGGGGCATCTCTCTCGTCGCACACGCCGGCAA